TGGACAATGAACCCACAGGATGCAACCCTGAGGGCTAGGGGCTAGGGGCCACTGGCCTGTCAGACGAGTGAGAAGTATAGGGTGAAGTGTGCTTCTCTTTGCTGTCCCAGCCTCTGCCCCGAGGCCTGTGCGCCTCCTCCTCCTCCAAGCTGCCCACCAAGTCATCTGCAAACACCAACCTCAGCATCCCCCGAGCCGCTCCAGGCACTTCCCTCCTTCCTGATGACCTACTGCGTGCCAGTCAAGATCCTTTCTTTCTGTCCCGTCCTGTGCTGTCCTGTGCTGTGCTGTGCTGTGCTGTCCTGTGCCCTGCTGGTTGGGAGAACTCGGGGAGGAGGAGGGTGCGCATGGTGGAGCAGAGGTGCAGGGTCACGGAGCCCTGCTGCTGCTGAAGGGGTTATACACCGACATCACGCCCTTCATGTCCTCTGTGACTTCATGGGACACCAGGACATGGAACTGGAAGTGGGGGGGAGCCTTGTCATCTCGTGAGGCCTCTCCCGGACTCCCAGCTTTGGGGCTCTCCCCTTCCTCTGATTCTCTTCAACGTCGTTTTCTGGATTTCTTGCCTTGACTGTGCTTTGCATTCCCATCCTTTGACTGGGTGTAGCAGGCGCCTCATTTTCCTAGCTCCTCCCTGCCCACTGGGCGGTGCTTTCTGTCTGTCTCTGGTGAGTGCACATGACCTTGGGCAATTAAAATAAAGGGAAGCTGTTGGTTCTTATACCTGGAAGGCTTGAACAGAACGATTCTGGCATGGCTCGATATGGTTTTTACTGGCGTCTGTCCATATGTCCCTCCTGTCCCCGCACAGGGACTGTTGCACCTCATCCTTGTCCCATTGACAGTCCTGAGCTCTGAACAGTGCCAATGGGAAGGCCACACAGATATCCTGTCACTGAAAAGAAGTGCTGGTAGAGGGGGAAGCGGGAGGGTGCAGGGAACAGGAACAGGAGGAAAAGAGCGGGAAGTGCCGTGCAGGCCCTTGGAGGTCCCTGACTCACAGTGGGAGGCTCAGACTCAGCCTAGGTCTTGTTGGCATCTCTTCTCTCAAGGACTCTTTGCTAGGAGGGGAGAGTAATGCACAGAGCTCAGGGCTGGATGAGGGGTGGGGGTGGGAGTGGTGATGTGTAGGCTATGGAGAGGGCCTCTTAAACAAGTGGCGTTTGAAGAGACAGGAAGGACATGAGGGGGTTCTGTGTGGACACCTGGAGCTTTCAGGGCAGAAGGCACACCGTGAGCCAAGGTCCTGAGGCAAGAACCTGCCTGGTGGTGGGAGTGACAGAAGCCAGCGTGGCTGCAGCCCAGTGAGGGGAGGCGCAGGAGACAGAGACGGGGTCCTGGAGAGGGCGGGGCTGGGTCAGGCAAGGCGGCTTCTTGAACCCCAATGTGCACAAGGGCCTGCTGTGGACTGTGAAAATGCAGACTTGGAGCTGGTAGGTCTGAGATAGGAGCTGGCACTCTGCAATCTACTGGGCGCCATGCTCCCTGTCCATGGGCTGCTGTTTTTTTTTTTTTTTTTTTTTTTTTTGCTATAGGGTGCATGCGTTCATAGGAGAGTGAGACAGACGGAGGGAGAGAGAGGAGACGGGAAGTGAGAAATCCCCCTATACACACCACCAGGACAGGTGGCCATGCCACAGTCCCTTCTCCTCCATTCTCCTCTTGGAATTTTGGGCATGCATGCACACTTGCCTGGTGTGTTTTTCAAGCCACTGGCTCTGGGACTCAAACCACAGAGTTGACTATGTGGGATCTAGCACCTTAACTGCTATGCCACCTGCTGGCCCCTAGGACTGTCCTTTGAGTAGTGAGGATATGGCCTTGTGGGTCAGGGAAGGATGTGGCCTATACTTGGAAGGACCTGGGGAGCCTTTGGGTTGTTGTAATTGCAGAACAACTTCATCTGAACTTTGTTCCAAAGAACTCATGGTCGTGCTGTTTAGGGTGTAGAGGACAAGGGTGGAAGCAATTAGAAATTTCCTGAGTAATCCAAAAAAGAGAGAGGCGTGGCTTGTATGAAGGAGGGGCCTGGCTGTGAGGGTGGGGGTGGGGAAGCGATCAGCTGCATATTCCAAATATCCGAATATTAGGAAGGTGAGCTGCTGAACTTGCTGAGGGTTGCACGTGGAGTGTGAGGGGCAGGAACTGGGATGACAAGAAGATAAACACAGACAGCATGTGATTTCCATCTACTGGCATGGAAGAGCAGTGATTGAAGGAAGAACTCCCAGAATATGGCATGCCAGAGATCTTAATTAGACATTTGAATACAGGGCTGAAGTTTGGAGAAAAGTTTCAGACTAAAGATACGAACTTGAGACTCAGAGAATAGAAGTCTGGCTGGATATCCCATGGACAACTTTGCAGTTCAAGTCCTGGACCCAGTAGCTTGGGAAGCATGCCAGGCATGTGGGTATGCCCAAAATCTTGAGAGGAGAACAGAAGAGACTGCAGTGTGGCCATTCCTCCAGGGGATGATTTCTCACCTTCTCTTTCTCTCTGTCTCTCTCCAGTGAGTGCGCATGCCCTGTGGTAAAAACCAAAAAAAAAAAGAAAAAAGAAAAAGAAAGAAAACTGGCTGTTGATTCCAAGTGATGAGAGGAAAAGGGGTGGTTTGAGGACTGAACTCTGGCACATTCCAATAGTTTGGGGCCTATAAAAAGCTCCCAGTAAAGGGGGACCAAGAAACAGAGGTCATGAGTGAAAGGGAACCCATGTGTTATTTTGGTCCTATTTGTATCAGGTATCTACTGCTGAGTAACAAGCCATCCCAAAATTTAGGGGCTTAAACCAACAGCAATTATTACTTCTTACCATTTTGTGGTCTGACTGGGAGGTTCTTAGCTGGAGTCAATCATGAGGCTGCCTTGTGTGGGGTTAGAACAGCTAAGGTGGCCTCTGGGAGTTGGTCTTGGGGTAGGTCCATCCTTCCCTGGGATCTCTTCCTCCACAAGGCTTGACCAGCTTCCTCATAGCTGGCTGCCAGGTGAGCTGGAGCCGGAGCTGCTGGGCCTTTCAGGCCTCTCAGGGCCTGGAACTGCCAAGTGTCACTTGCGCCAGGTTCCACTTCCAGAGTTCAGTGATGCCGGCTGTGCTCTCCTCCTGGAGGAGTGGTGTGCCACCGTGCAGCAGAGGGGTGCACCTTTGGGACCACCAGCCTGCTGCAGTAAGGTCCTCATCTACTTACAATTCTACATATTCTGTTAGAACAGGAATTTGGGCCAAGCTAAGGGTGCTGCGTGCCAGTCCCGCTCCCCCGTCCACAACCAGGAGCCTTTAGTGCCTCTCTGGCTCTGAGTCCAGCTTCCTTATTTGTTTGCCGGAGGCTGATGATCAAGCGGGGGTTGCTAGCATGACTTATTTTACTTCTTCCATGAGCAAGAGAGCCAGAGAGAAGGGGGCACCCCTAATAGGGTCCCTACACTTTGATCCAGACCCGGCCTCAGCTAGAGCTGGAGCTTAGGCACTGGAGGGCCCAGTGTGCTAGGGTGGGAGTGTCTCCAGGCACAAATCTGACACCTCCCCATGTGGGTCAGCCTGGAAGGGCATTGCTGCTGTACCATCATCCAGCCCAGAGAACTTTGAAATTAAGTAGGAAACGCAGGGCAGGTGTTTGGCACCGTGCAGGCACACGTGTGTTGCCCACTGTCACTGTTTCTCCAGCCTTCTGGCCTCTGTTCTCTGGCAGGAAGCAGCACCACGCACACGCACAGGCACACGCATGGGCCCATGCTGGCTGGTGGCTGACCAGGCAGAAGCTCCTCTGGGGGGCAGGCTGTTTCTCTCTACAAAGTTCCAACTAACAGGGAGGAAACTTTCCTGACCCAAAGAACTCAACAAACCAGTTTTCCACACGTCTCTCGGGTGTTTACGTTCTTTACTGTGTGTTCGTTGAGATATTGAGGACCTGGCAGCGACCAGTTTCATTGCCAGTTTCTGGCTGTCTTTCCCGGCTTCACAAGGAAAACACCCGGTCCAGCGTGGCGCGTACTCTGCACCAGCCCTGGGCAGACTTTTCACAGGCCTTATCGACTTTGTTTTTTACTAGGGTCAGAGAGAGAGAGAGAGAGTGCGAGAGCGCAAGCATTCTAGTTTTCAAACACGGAAAATGAGACACGGAGGAGCTAAGGAACTTGTCCAAAGCCACAGAGCTAGAAATGCCAGGGTTCAAAGCTGGGCCACAGATGCAGGAGCAATCAGAGAAAATCAGCCTTTTCAAATCCGCCAAGGTTGGAGGGAAAGTGTCTGCTTCCCTTAGCCTTTTCCCGGCAGGAAGCGATCCCCCCTCCCTCAGACAGAGGCAGTGGGGTGACCTGAGCATAGGCCAAGGGCTCAGGCCTCCACAGACTCCTGGTTTGAGCACCACCCCCTGCCCATCCAGCCCTGTAGCCTGGTAAGGGGACAGTCCAGCACGGAAGGGGTTCACTCTTCGTGGGGCAAAGCGCTTATGACTTGGGCTGGGCTTCAGCCTCCTCCGCAGACCCCGCCGACCTTTGGTCCTTGGACCCCTGAGCGCTCCGCGCGCTCCCACAGTCGCTTCGGTTCTGTGAAGGCTCCTTTTCATCCTAGAGGCTTCCCGCGCCCCAGGTCCTAAGCCAGAGCACCCGTTTTTACTGTCAGCAGCCTGACGCACCCTTGGGCTTGGAGACAAGCGCACAAACTGAAAGCAAAACAGCCCGACGCCCAGGAGCGTCTGGGCGGGATCGCCGGCTAGGGGGGCGTGTGGTGGCCCCGCCAGGGCCAGGGCCCGAGACCTCGCAGCCCCCGGCGCTCCCTGCATCCCG